ATAATAAAGCGTAAACACAGACTTTGTTGCATAAGATGTTAGCAATAACAGCATGTTTTTGAAAAATTATTTTTATAATAAAAAGCCCTACACTTACGTCACGCTTTAGGCTATATATTTTAACACCATTATACTTAGGGGGTAAATATTTTGGATAAAAGCCCTAATGTGGAACAAAGACCATAAGTTGCTGCCAACATCAAGGAAGCAAGGTTGTCATCATGTCATGTCATTTTGACAATTTGACAAATGTAAACAATAAAATAAAATTTTTAATTTCATGCGGATGAATCCTCATGGAACCGGCTAGTTATATTACACAACTGATTTGATTGTATTTGCTATAGTAAATCCAGTCACTGCCAACACTGACTTTACCTGATGCAATAGCTGTAGAACACAATTAAAAAGTTCTTATAACATTTAATAATGTTGAAAATACGTTTATTTAATCTCCGAATATTGTACCATCTAAGTCGTAATATGTGATTACTTCAATTTAGTTTAGTCGAAATAATTAACGGATAGGGAATTGATGCAGAATATTTAAAAGTCACAAAAAATACGTTTTAAGAGAATTCAAAAGGAAGTCACAAACTTTCACATAATTACCAGAAACGGCGTTTAGTGGTCCCCGGGCGCGCAAAGAATGTGGCTGCGTAAAAAAATTGACTACTATTGGTTCTCAGATAAAAAGCTGCGGTTTTATTAATAAGCTGAAGCGGTAAGCGAGGCGATTCATGATATTTTCTTTTCAATTCTCTCAATAAAATTACATTTCCTTAGGTGTGTTTGGCATGAACTAGGATATTTTTTATTTTATCATAACGTGTTATCGTATTAAAAGACAAGTTGACTATTTTTCCATTCCGCTAGTGTTATCTGCAGAAACTGTGTCTCGGCAAACTGCCAAGACACAGTTTCTAAGGTAACAGTTTCGACTTTTATCGCTCGTTCTTTATGTTTCAATCTAGTTAAATGGTTAACTTTGTTTGTGGAAAAAATAAACTGTGTGTTTAAAAACAAATTGTTAACTCGATTTTTTTGTCGCGTGAAGGACTTCAATCTTGTTTAGCTATTGTTTATTCAGTGGAAACTTACTTTAAAATTGTACTTATAAACAATCGTGCAGTACAATTCAGATACTTAACATTTAAAGATTTTTTTTGTGTAATCATAAAAAAATTTTAAAATTCATGTCACTATGTACACAACCTAATAATTGTGTTGACTTGTAAAATGTGGAATGGTGGTTTTGAGTAACGACCCAAATATTTTAACAAATAATTAGTCCACGTGTTTAGAGATCTACTACATTTTATGACTGCAATAATTCAGTACAAATTACCACCACTCAAAGTTTTCATCAAATAACATAACGATTATGTTGATACTTGAAAGGAAAACTTTGTAACTTTTTAATAGAATTGCGCTATTAGATGAACGTGATATTAAACAGTTAATATTACTGTCGAGAAATAAATCCTATTATGAGTTTAAAAAAAAAAATTCAAATTTCGAATCCTGATAAAAAAAAATGCGTGTTTATATAGCTCTATGATAAGGGAACAGTTTTTTTTAAAAAAAGAGTATTTTATTACAACTAAAACATGCCAGTGAAAACATTTGTCTACTTTTATATCGAAATAAAATTTCTCCGTCATAATTTAATGACAGGTACAAAAAATAAACTCCTTTGAGGATCACAACTAATTGATACAAATAAGCATCCGCTTTGTCCAAAATAACTTCGTGTATAAAATTTTAAAGCTTCGATGAACGACTATGCCACTTGTTTATGGCTTTTATAATAGTTTAAAACTTAAACGTGTCGATGTTAAATATAGAGTGAATCGACCAATAAATATGATCCGAGAATTAAAAGAAAAATATCAACAGACCGGTCCATTGTAAATTGGTCATCCAACTATCTTCGGACCTGGGAGCTCGCAATAAATATCAATAATGGTAGGTCTTGATATATTGGTGCAAGGGTAAATTACTTTAAAGAAAATATTTAGTTTTAGCTCATTAACGACTTTAGAATGATGGATGGTGTTGAAGATGGTTTAAATGTTGAAAAAGAGTTTAGTTACGCTACGGATGAATACTTTATTGTTGACAATTTTGAATAACGAGTAACTTAAAGTACTTACTATGCTTAAGATTTTTTATTATCATTAGGTGGCAAACGAGCTAGCGGCCACCTGAATCACACGAAGAGGATATTTCCCCTTCCAATGCGTCTCCTCCACTGTCAATTTCAAAAAGAGTGGGAAGGCAAAGGGACTAAAGGTGACCTTCCGGCACCACACTCACCAGACGAACTGCGGAATTGCTCCCACTTCAAGCCTGTCTTCTGTGTTGTCGTGTTACCGGGCGAGCCGGCCCTGCAATGCTAAGATGGTAAACGAGCTCTAACTCTGTTAAAACACCATAACAATTACAATATAATAGTTTTCATATATCTTGACCGCTCTTCAACGTAGAACACAATTTTAGGTGTAGCGGGACATTGCAAGGGGAGGCACCGCACCTTGAGCCACTAAGATATTTGTAGGGTGTTATATTTGATTGTTATAATATTGGTCTTAGGTTTCATTAGTTGAGAAAATTCTGTTGCATTTTCCAATACCTTATTTGTAAGATTTATTTCTTAACCATAGATAATACAAATATGTAGTCTGTATACTTCTTGCTAATTCTCTTTGAAGTACACTTTGTGACTATTAATACGTTATCTATCATTTTAAAATTAAATGAATTCGATAAAAGCTTAACTAAAGATTAAAGTTATGAAATAATTTTAATGTAATTAACTCAAAATTGATAATTAGGTTAATTAATATATTATTACTTCATGAAATATTTGATGTTAATTACATATGTTGATGAGTAATTAACTACATAATAATTTAAATATTTTTAAACTAGCTTTCGCCCGCGACTCCGTCCGCGTGTAATGAAGTAGCTTATTTGTTCTTCCAGAATATCATCTACATGTATGCCTTTCATCGAGAGCAGTTTAGGCTGTAAACTCTAACATCATTAATCTATCAATCTAAACTTTCGCATTTATAGTAATAAGATTGAAATTGGCATGATTGAACCTTTTGAATGTTACGGTTTGTAAATCACAGCACGTGTTTGTATGAAGTTAGAAGTTTCATATCGAGCATTACAATATTTATGAATCCTTTTTCACGTCGTAATAATTATGAGAAATCTTAAAATAGATACATGAAAAGAATCATTACCAAACATTACTATACAAATTGAAAAAATCTTGTAACAGAGACAAGAATAGAGTCGCTTTCTATTGATATATTATAGTTTTATTATGAATTATTGTGATAACAATATTTCTTATTTAATTTAACTAGAGGTAATATTCTTTGGAAAAACAAATTTACCAAAACACGTACCTACCTAGTCACCTAATCTATATCTAAAAATAAAAAAAAATAATGTTTAATCCTTGTCAACACTACAATTATGAAAAAAAAATATTAAACACAAAATAATGAGAAACGTAACTAATGAAATGAAAAAAAAGAAAAAGAAATATTTAAAATTAGCGTTGCAATGCTGACAGTATTGGGCCCTCGCTCAGCCATAAGTGCTGTATACATGTATACTTGTTTAGTCACAACCTATACCATTGTTGCAGTTGTCTATAGTTAACGAAAATAATGACGTCTCAACAACCATATGCTGATACTGCAGTTTAAAATTTTGAAAATAACCATGTCTTTATGGTAACACAAAAGTACACATTAATTTTCAAATACATATCAGTTTATAAATAGTTTTAAAATATTTTTAGTAAAATACGAGTCCTCCCCTCATCCTGTTCGAAGTGCCAGTAGGTGTGTTATGATTTGTAGACCCGCCGTGACGTCTGATTTCAGTGACGCGTCACGTTTTTGGGGGTGGACGTAATTTATTATTATTTACCATTTACTGTCAACCGTACTCACATCATCCGGTGCCCCATTACGAAGTTGTTTTTAGCTAATTTTATATACGTTTATTGTTATTTGATTTTTATTGTTTTAAAACTATCTCATAGTGTATTTTATTTATTGGCCAGTATAACAACAGCAAGATTACTTGGTTTAGAAATAGAAAATTTGAAACTAGTGTACCTATTCATTGAGAAGTCAATTAAAGTTTTAGATGAATTATTCAAAGAAAAACAATGTTACTTGTATATTTTTAAGTTCTTGTTGAGCAAGAGAATGTAAGTAGCTTGTATGATGTCGTGTCAGTAAAAATAAATGATCCCTTACTGTAAGTCTCATGGGGGCAGTAAATGTTGTCTGCATTGCTAAATCACCTCTGTTAATTACTGAAACATTCTGTCCTGAGAATTATTGCTTGGTGCCCGTTTTTAAAGAATTTCTTTCCAGAATATGTACATTTTTAAACACGAGTTCTAAATTAAACTTTCAATACTATATTGACTTTGTTATCATAACTTTGCTACTAATTAAATGTCTAGTAATGATTCTTCTAAAGATATCATCTATTTGCCTTTTACTGTATACTAACAAGAACTTTGTTTAGTGTTTATGATTGTTGCATCTTCTTACTGATCAACATTAATATATTGCAAATACCATTCATACCACCTCGTTGGTTGACATGCCATAAATATAGGTAAGGATTTAACTATGTTAAGTTGTGGAATTGTCTATCTTAGTCTTAGCCTTAATCTTAGTCTTAGTCTTAGTATTATCATAAATGCGAAAGTTTAGATGGATGGATGAATGTTTGTTAGCGTTTGTAGCCTAAACGGCTGAACGGATCTTGATGGAATTTCGCATAGATGTACAGGATAGTTTGGAAGAACACATAGGCTACTCAATTTTGTTTTTTTTTAATTCCCCGCGGACGGAGTCGCGGGCTAAAGTTAGTTAGAAATAAATCCAATTGAAACCAAAATAGTTAAACTCTTCAAGGGATAACATCAGGTTTAAATGAAATTCTAACAATTTAAAAGTGTGTTTATTAATTATAATTAATATTTACTTCACAATAAGTATCGCTGTGCTTAATAATACTATAATTATAGAACTAGTCATAGAACCGGCACTGGAATAGTATCCAATTCGTCTCGTCGTTCTATCCATTTCAAGTAGACAGTCGACAATTTCCTCATTGTTAGGAATGATTTGCTCAGCGGGTAGCAGGAATCCGTATTCACCGACATCTCGTAATTCAAACAGATACACTATTGGTATCTTAGCAACGCCTTTAACCCAATCGAAACTCGAACCGCTGACTTCGTCTGAAATATTTGATATGCAATTCAAATTCAAAGTCTTTGATATTTTAATTATTGTCACGATAGGAAAATTATGAGTTTTGTGTCTAAATTGAAGTTTTTTTACGAAGATATTGTTACCATCTTACATTGGACATAGTTACTGGATATGCTACACATGGTCGTCACTAATTCTATTGAGTTACCTTGTCTAATAGTAATGATATATCATCGAAGGTCATTATTATCCGTCCCGACAAAACATAGATTATATAAATCCATATTAAAAAATATAGATAAATTTTAATCTATAAAGACTCCGAATTTATGAAACAATATTGAATGTTAGTAAATGTAATCCACGATTACAAAATGATTTACATACAAGATATGTACAAATTGCCTTGACATCAGTCTAACGGGTAAAGTCCCGAAGAATTAATTCACCTAACACAATACAAAAATCAGGAAAATATTCAAACTTTAATTTGCAGATCCTTGATTGACGAAATGTAAATAAAAACACTTACATAAAATATCAGCTGATGTTCCAACGGTATACCGTGTACCGTGTCTTTCAGTTAGCTTGTCAGCACCACGGATAGCAATTTCGAACTGCAACAATTTAAAATTTGATGTATTACTATTGAAAATATCATTATAATACTCGAGATTTATGATTATAATGTTGGAGCAACTCCTAATGATTTCCGTAAATGTATTAAGCGAGGCGAAATATTTAAAATAATTGACAATACGATTGTTTTCCTTTCTTACCATGTCCGCGTAATTTTCTGCTTCTAGGACCTGGCTACCAGAAGCATGGCTATAGGGAACAAGGACCATTTGAGAATAAGAATGGAAAGCGAAATAGTAAATGAAGTTTCCAGTCTGCTTTAGAGTAAGAACGTAGTTGGATATCGCTTGTGTCTCAGATTCAGATCCCGCTGAGGGACCGGCGAATGTCTGCATGCATGGATCAGAAGAAGCACCGGTGGCTGAAATAAAAAAAAATTGTATCTACAATCGTATTTATATTATAAATGCGAAAGTTTATACAAAAGGATAATTATTAGTGATTGTAGCTTAAAATGCTGAACGGATATCGAGGAAATTTGGCATAGATTATAGAGGAACACATCGGTTAGTTACTTTTTTTTATTTCCACGAGAACGTAGTCGCGTCCGACAATGTATCTATAATCTAAATAATGTATGTATAGTATTAATCTGTAATCGTCTGAATAACTGATTGATATATTGTTAGGCTATAACGAACCCGCTAGAATCCGATCTTTGCTAACTCAAATAGTGTTCATAGAATTCGATTCCATATGATTGGCATTATTCATAGAAAAAATTCCCATTAAGTTAACCTTTTTGTGACAAAAAAGAAGTACTTACTCATCCAAAGGAAATTAAAATTCCGGTTGAGGTCTATGCCATTGCTCAAGTCATTGGCAACATTCGTACAATTTACATAGTTAACTGTGTTCCGGTTCTTTCTCCACATTCGGTCCTGTTAACAGAAATATAAAATTTATATTAAGAACCTCTTTTGTGTTATTAACATTAAAACTAAAATACTTACATCTGAAAAGGTGTAAACATATCCATCAGGGTTTACGACCGGAAATATATGCCAAACAAATGTTTCTGCTAAATTTCGCACATCAGTGTTGGTGCTGGTTAAGAATTCTTTAATAATCCAAGTGACCGTAGCCGGGGAAATCCATTCACGAGAGTGTATACCACCTTCTATCATCGCAATAAGTGGTGCGTCTCCTCGTTGACCAGGTTTAAAATCGATTATAACACCTTTGATTTGACGTCTTTCTGTTGAAAATCCTATCGAAGCTGGAGTGACAATATTAGGGTAGCTCTCTGCTAGCTCATCGAGCCAGCTGTGGATTTCTTGTAGTGTGTGATATCTTGTCCAGCTAAGAGACCCGAGACTGTTGCTACGATCGATCTGTCCATGAGGTTTTAATTGGTCGTCGATTAATCTAAAAATGAAAATTCCTAGTTAATTTAATGTAAATGTAATTTAGTCAACTGTATTGTTTTCTATCCGTATTCTACTGTCGCTTCAAGCATAACATCTAGTCGATCATCAGACATGTCAACTTATTTCATATGCCTTATAGACAATATCTAAATGAGACTGGGAACTCAAATAGCTTAACCCTGACTTCAAATCTTCATAACTTGCAATTAGAGAAATTAAAGAGTGACTTACTTTTGTACATTGCTAATGCTGACAACTGGATTCAATCCGACTGTCTTGCAGTAACCTACGAATTCATCGTCCTTATTTGGTGGCACCATAATCCTGACGTTGCTACCAACAGCAATAACATCCGTCCAGTATTCATATCCATCCTTTCTTAAATCACTTAAAATCTGAACATGGAAATCGGTTGTTGGAACTACATTATACACTTTATAGTTTTCATAACTCTTATATGAACTAACAATTACGCAACCACATAATATTAATAAACAACTTAACCTCATTTTAGCTACGCGTGCACTATATTAAAACAATCATAAACAAAAATATAGAAATTGTATCATATCTTATCAAAAGCATTGAAGATTATTTGTTATCTAAAATATATTTGTGATACGTAATAAATTTAATCTATGGATTATAATCTAAGGTATTAAATATGGATAGAATTATCTACAACTAGTGCACCGAAATCTATAAAGGTCAAATCCTTTTGATTACTTAATTACTCTTTCATAAATTAAGGCCTCATAGCCTACACACTGTTTGCTAACGCCATCTAGTATCAAAGACATGGATTAATTACATTGATATCAGATGTACAAAATGAACAATATGAATTCAGATGAACAGATAAAAAAAGATGTAAATTATTACAGTTGATTATATAGGGGAAGATAAAAGGAAAAAGGAATCCAGGAAGAAGACATACATCTTGGCTTAAAAATTTTGTGCCAGTAGTATAATAAAAGCACACGTTCCTAATTTAAAGCAGCAGTATCGAAGGTTCAGGGTGCCATAATGGTTTCTAACCTCCGATAGCAGATGGCACTCGAAGAAGAAGAATCAGATGAACTAACATTTGCAAAACAGCTTGTTTTATAAAAATCAAAATAAGAAAATAAAAAGAAGGAAACGAGTTATCTTAGTTAATTTTTAATTTACAAATAATTTAACAAAAAATGATAATACAATTAAAGATAGTGAAGAAATCAGGGTATTAGTCCCTGAATAATAATAACCCAATCTCCTAGTCGTTCTATCAATTTCTAATAGAGCGTCCATAATTTCTAGATTATTAGGGATAATTTGACTTGCTGGTAGAAGAAATCCATACTCGCCGAGGTCCCTCAACTCGATGAGAAATGAAACTGGAACATCTGTTACGTTCTTTACCCAATCAAAGCTTGTACCACTCATTGGATCTAAAAAGAGAATAACAATTAAGAAAAATACATATGGGACTTGTGACTGCAAACTGAACTCAAATTCTATTATTACTCCTGTCTTTATTATGTGCATCTTTTTTTCTTTTGTCTTTCCAATGCAGATCTTCAAATTGTCCTTTTTGTTTTATTTTTAACTACTAATAAGTATACTTACACATGATGTCAGCGGAAACTCCAACTCTGTATACTGTTCCAAATCTTTCCTTTAATTTTTCAGCACCTCTCACTGCAATTTCGTACTGTAAGTTAAAAAAAAACAATTGTGATATGCCATACTCATTCTATGGTTGTTATTAAATAGATTTTTGTAGATACAGTCCAAATCTCCCAGCTGATGGTTATTTCAAACCTACATGTCATTATTTTCGTAATATAGGCTCTCAAAATTGTACTCTGTGCTTTTATTAAATAGACATCCATCAAATTGTTTGTACTAACCATATCTGCATAATTTGTTAAGTTAGCAGATTCTTCAGCAGTAATGTGACTGTACGGGACTACAATCAATTGAGTAAATGAATGAAGACCGAAGTAATAAATAAGTCTTCCTTGATTGTTTAGCGTCATTACATAATCAGCGACAGCCCTAGCCTCTGGTTCTGAGAACGGAGATGGTCCAGCAAATGTATTGGTGCAAGGGTTGTCAGACGCTCCGATTTCTGAATTAAAGAAAACAAGTATTATACGCTATTCTTACAATAAAATTAAATACCTTGATAAAATGTAATACTAAATTGAATTATTTAATTCAATACTATTTGTAAAGCTTTTTGAATTTACCCATCCATGCGAAATCAAAGTTTCTATTGAGATCGACTCCATTACTCATATCGTCATCCACACCGGTTGAAGCGCACGAGGTGAAGTTTCGTGTACTGCGATTCTTTCTCCACATTCTATGCTGAAAATGATATTTTAAAAAATGAAGTATAAATGCCAAAATATAACCAACATATAGATGTTATGACTCCTAATACAGCGGTTGTGAAACTGCTGAACATACAATCATAATTTTACTATCATTCTATGCATGATCCTGCTTAAAAACGCTATAATTTTTATAGGCATTCATTTCATTTTGTATACTTTATAACAATGATTTCTTACCGTTGTAAAAGTATAAACATATCCATCAGGATTGACAACTGGGAAAATATGCCATTCAATATTTTCAGCTAACGCTCGCATTTCAGGATCGGTACTAGTTAAAAATTCTTTTATAATCCATGTCGCAGTAGCTGGTACTATCCACTCTCTCGCATGAAGTGTACCTTCTATCATACCGATTAATGAATTATTTCTATTCGAGTTATAATTGATCTTGACTCCTTTAATTTCTCGGTTTTCAACAGATCGTCCCATCACTACGGTTGTCACAATATTGGGATAACTAACTTGTAGTTGATCAAGCCAGTTGTATATTTCTTCGAGTGTATGGTATCTATCCCAATTGAATGATAGAAAACTGGTGCTTCTATCTGAACGACTTGCTGGTTTCAGTTGATCATCTATAACCCTTGAAGAATTAAAACCATTAAAATATGCGTTAGCTTATGTAGTTTTAATTATTTGTTAGATCAGAAGAATTACAGATAAGTTGTTCTTTTACAATAACATTGTTTGGTGCAATAAAAATATAATAAGAAAGTACTTACCGCTGTAAATCAGCTATAATTTCTTTATACTTAATATCGTTTCTCTTCATAGTATCTTCAAACTGCTGATATTTTTCCGGTGCTACTGTTATCCGAACTCCATCACTTACATCGAACTGATCCAACCAAAATTCACCAATTCCTTGCGTTTGTATACTCTTCACAATTTCTCTCTCGTTTTCATTATTTGGAATTACTTTGTACACTCTATGACCGTTAAAAGTAATTTTACTAGTATTTACAAAAGTAGTTACTAATAAAACAATAGTTATTTTTAAAAACATTGTGAAATATTTTAAAGACCTATCTATATGAAGGTTACTATAAATTTGCAAGTTTTATTGAGTTATAATCATAATCGACGGCTACGAATCTAATCTTGTCTGTGAAAGATAAAATAATTACAATGATGGAGTATTCATTAAAATATTATAAGTGACTAACAATGACATGCTATTTATGATTGATTATGGTCTATATATTTTTGTTTTTCATACGGGAGGGGAATAAACGAGCGATAGGAAAACTGAGGCTTGCAAAACCTTCGAGATGTTTTACAAAAAGCATAGCTTAGCCTTTAAATATTGTAATTTTAGCAAGAAGAAATCAACAAACTTTTTGAAATGTCTTAATTATAAATCGGGTTAATACCGTTCGACGTAAAAGTACAGTAGAACCTCGATAAGTTAGCCCAAGGGAAACACAGAATACTTTATTATCAAGGGTCTATGTTGTAGAGGTTTTGAGCTCTGATGGGAAGGGAAAATATTATTTTTTGAAGTTATAGAGGTTTTTAAGTTAGCGAGGTTTGAGTTATCGAGGTTCTACAATATTCGTAATTTTGTTTATGATAAAATTAGTATCAATACATACATAAAAGTGAATACCGATGATTTAATACAGCGTGGCGTTCGCGTATTGGAGGTCCCAGCATAAATCAACATACGCTCATGTTTCCGCGGCCTGTCCGCCGCTGCGCCGACCGGGAACTTACAACTGTTTTATGACTATAAATTGCTTATGTGATGTCGCCAGTCACAACATGATTTACGCGTGAAATGATAATATTTAGTGTTTTGAAAGTTTACAAGTATCAAACTATTACTAATTTTTATGCAAATATCATTTAAAATTATTAAACGGCCATAAGGGCGTAGCTATGATGGGACTTTGATCTTTAAGGTACCAAAAAAACTAAGCTATCTAGGTAATAACCACAATAATACTAATATTATAAAAGTGAAAGTTCAGATGGCTGGATAGATGTTTGTTAGAGTTTGTTGCCTAAACTGCTAAACGGTTCTCAATGAAAATCATAGGTATAGAGCATAGTTTGGAAGAACAGCCTTCTTGCTTAATTTTGATAAAAAGTTTACATTTCATAGCCAACATGAAAAAGCTATTAAAGTACGAACAGTATAGTAGAGTGCTAGTTACATATTATTATGTTTTTTGTTGTTTGTCATTTATTTTTAATATTCGTGAGAGTTCTTTGGAGCTAAGATATGAATTAAAACGAGTTTAGCAAACAGCTACACATTTTACTTTTGTAAGTATTTTTAAATCAACACTTTTTTTAAACAGCAGCAATTTTGAAAGAACAAAAAGTTTAGTTATCTTCACAGTCTCGTAAAAATGTTGTTTCATTTTCACAATCCTTTGTGATATTACTTAAAATGTCTACATATTTTGCAGCTGACTGTACTCTTAGAGCGGACGCACACCTCTGGATAAACTATCGCATAACTATTGTGCGATTGTCACTTGTTTTGCAGCAAATTCAACTAAAAAAGGGTAGTGTGCACACCTCCATATAAGCTCATAGGAAACAAAGCGCAACTAAACAAATGTGAGATAGTTTAGTCAAAGGTGGCCTGCTCTTAATTATATTTGTCTTACATTATCAATGAGTAATATCTCCCGGACAAATAGAACTGATAAAACAATAAGTGGTTAGGTAACTAAATCATTTTGATCACCAGCTTTCGTTGGCAGCACTCAAGATTGTCCGCAGGCTGCTTAGGAACATAATAATTTACGATCCTAAGGGAACTGCTTAATCAGCGTTTGGTTCATTGTTAACTAGCTTGGCTTCGAATAATGGCGCTATTGTCTCTGGATATCGCGATAAATCGATGTCGCAAGTTAGGAGAATTGAGCGTTTTGATAAAAATTCGCCTCGTGTCTTATACGTCTTCAATTATTTTTATATTTTTGTAAATTTACAAGTTTCATAAAAAAACCCAGTAGTTAATGCTTACGAGATAGATTACTTTATGTTTAGTATTGATTAATTAAGATGATTTTAAAGCTAGATATGATTGTATAATACCTTGATAATGTGTTCTTGCTATTTCGCCCACTTCCTGTCTCTCATTATTACGTTTAATCATTGATACTTGCTTTGTTTAAATTCTTTTTTTCTGTTCCAGTAATTGGCTGTACATGGAGACAATTTTTAAATTTTGTGTTAAAAAAATAATCAATGTAATAAACAAAAATTATAGCAATATTTTAAACACGTTTCTTTTGTTTTAATATTTAGCTAAACAAAGAAAATTTTTAAATAAGGTAATGTATTTTAATGTTAAATTATTCTAATCCGCTATCAGTTTATAGCTTGTACATTGCAGCTTTCGTATCAGTAACCACTATTAACGATATTGGTGTCGCGACAGCCGCTTGTTTATGTATTAACATTGATTGCGACTAGATATTTTGAATTTAGCACGAATTACAATAGAAGCGTCTCCGAACGGAGTTTATCTTTGTTTATATGCACTATTGTGATGATAAATTTAAATCACGCGAATGTAAAATATCTTTTACTTTTAGTGGTATAGTAAACTAAATAGTTGGTTTCCATGGGCGTACGATCAATAAATCGTTTACCTTCACTTTAAAAAAGGAGTCCCTAACTAACGTAGGTAGGCAACGCATCTACAATTGTGGATGTCTACGGGCAAAGGTGGCTTCCCCATTTTGGATTCAGGTGGCCGCTTTCTCATTTGCCTCTTTATGGTATAAAAAAAAACTAATGGCAAAAATTATTAATTATTCTTTATTACATTATTTAATACAACTTTTTATTTATGAAATGTTTTAGAGCAGATTGATTGTAATTGAATTGATAGAATTAGTAATGAAAAAATATTTAGTAGAGGCTTATTATTGTATAAAACCAAAGAGTCTGTGTATAATTAAGGATTAGGTAAAAATAAGCCCAAGTAATAGAGTCGTAAAAAGACAGTATTCATTAAATTTCCATTTTGGTACATTTTCATGACACGGTACGGACTTTTTAATATCTTTTCTTATTAAGACCGTGGTTCACTGGACAGGGCTTAGGAAAGTTTATCTTTTAACGATAATATCGCCTTAAGCCCGCCAGTAATATTAATGTAATGGAAATAATAGAAACAAAGCTTGTTTTTTTATGATCTATACTAATAAGATCTACACTTGTATCTTTTGTATTTTTTGTACGTATTGAATTAACTTAAAAAATATAGTGTGTCTAAATAATTTAGATTAGTTTGACAATTCATTTCAAATTTAGTAGGGATAGGTTGTGTAAAATCAGTCATGAATCTTATCAATTTTCGATTTTTATTATAGAAGTTGGAATCGTTAGATTTATTGTTATAATTAATGAAATTAAAAAAATTAAAAAATACTCTGTTTTCTCAAATTAATAATGACCATAACAATCAGTGAGAGTAAATTAATGTTTATTACTACTACAGCCGTACGTAATCGATTTTTTTTTGTGACTGATTTGTCACTGTTTGCCTTGAAGAGGCATTTACAGATTCACCGGGCTTGAGGTGGCCCAGCGCGGATGGCGCTTAGCCTAAACCTCTTTTATGAGTAACTAGGCTCGAGGGCTCCCTCAGGAGTCTCGGCTCGGGCCGTTACTTCGTTATTATTGGATTTCGCTATTATTTCCGTCATAGCTAATTTCGTTACACTATAATCAATAATAGAATTGTCCTCTAAATTAGTGAATAAGAAAATAATAATTTTAGTTGAGTTTGATAATTATTTGAACCGAATATCGATAGTTCAAAATTGGTTCCCACGCGTGTTTGTTTCGTCACTACGATACCTGTCTATTAAGTATGGCGTTTTCCTTCATACAAATTGAATTCGATGCTTCATATGCATCATTTATCAAACTAATCTATCTCATTTAGACAAACTATAATGGGCATTGTAACCTTTTCGTAATTGTAATTAATTAATTAAATAAATAAATAAAGAGGTTCTTTAAATTCTTAAGGTTGTAATAACAGAAAGCGCAATAAAGTTCATTCAAGCGTTAGTAATATTTTACTTAAGCCTCAAGAAATTATTTTCAACTCCCAATTGGGACCTTAATTTTGTGATCCGGAAAGTCGTTAAACTTATCTCTGGGGAAATGCATGCGATAACTATGGGCTCCCACTGTCGAATTATTTGTGCTAAAATATAATTTTGCTCCGACTCATCAATACTATAATAAAGAGTAAACACACACTTCTTTGTTGCCTAAGATGTTAGCAATTACAGCATATTTTTGAATAATACTTTTTTTAATAAAAAAAAAACCCTACACTTACGTCATGCTCTAGAGTATATATTTTCACGCCATTAAACTTAAGGTAAATATTTAGGGATAAAAACCCTAATGTAAGAAAGAGACCATACGATACGAGCTGCCAACATCAGTAAGCAAGATTGCCATAGCAAGGTAATTGGTATTTTACCATTTTCAATTAAGAATTTGATGAATATAAACAATTAAATAAAGTTTTTATAATTTAATGCGGATGAAGCAGCACGGGAACAGCTAGTTTGTAATAAGCAGGACAACGATATGTCCTTATAAAAGTCCTATAGCAGTGGAATTAACTAATATATGTTGCGTGAAACTCAGTCATGTGTAAAAATTTAACATTGGTAATCCATAAAAGACGTACGACGTAAAATATTTAATACGTAATTTAAAAAAAAAAGTCAAATAGTTCGTGTTACTCAATGATTTCTAATGGTAAAAGAATGTTTGAAATCGTTCAAGTCGTTTTTGAGTTTGTTGGCTTTGTTTTTTTTTAAATACCCCCGAGGGACCCTAGTAGCGACTGCTGCTATTGCTGAAGCAGCAACCTTGTTACCTAGGATGAGTTTGTTCGTTGCATACAAAAGTACAAAAAAATTGCCTGTTTACTAATTATGTAAGCGTAAAATAACATAAAATAAATAAATAAATTAATTAATTAATAAATAAATTTTTTATTTTTATTTTATTTATTTAAAATAACATTACAATGAACAAATTAGAAAACAA